CTTTATTTTCAAGGTGGCCTGAACAGAGTGTTTTAGGGCAGCAAACCCTGGTCTCAGGCCACCTTGACTTTAGCTTGAAAACCACAGCTTTGAAGCCTCATGCGCGCCATACCAGAACTGTAGCTACTTGTAGCTACCCTGGGTCCGTATAAATAGTATGTTGCTATACCTCTTACACACCTATACAAGTTCAAAGCACGAATGAGACTTCAAGGCTGTGGATTGCTGTGCGTGTGTAGAGGTTCTCAAGCGGTTGACGGAAAGGGAACTTGAAGTACTATACCTGGTAGCTGCACTATAGCTACCCTAGGTCTCTCTACCTTGCAAGGTGCCAACTACACCTTTCCATTCAGATGATGCAAATGATGCATTTGGCATTTCTTGCATCACCACCCCTCAAAAATCACCTCCAACACAACCTCAAAAAACCTTCCCTCGGAGCACCCTCCTCCCCCAGCATGTGCTGAGTTGACGTATACCTTTCTCGGGCCACCCCCCCAGACCCCCTAACTACTCACTTCGTTCGCCAGACACAACTCCGCTAGCGCCTTCTACGAAGGCTGGCTTTCGTAATGAAGGTCCTTTCCACCTGTAGCTTGGGGTGCACTATACCAGTTAGATAGATCCCCTACTATAGCTGCGATCGCAGGATATTCACCCAGGAATCATGGGTCGTCCAGCACTTCCACTGTAGTGACCTTCCAAAAGAGTAGTTGAAGTAAATTCCCCCTAAGCCAAGCAGTGCTCCAGGGACATCCTCATCGTTCGAACTCGAAAGCCGCTCCAGACTCCAAACAAGGCTGGAGCTTCTTAGAACCTTCACAATGCCCTAAGATTCGGACGGTAACCCTCGATAAACCCTCGATAAGATCTGATCCTTGATGTCCAACAAGAAAACAGCGGCCTCTTCCTGTTCCCTACTCTTGCGCTGTTGCACACACACACACACACAGCGGCCAACCACTCCTTTTGCACAAAGAAAAACGAGGGGCACGTTCGAGGCATAGAGCACGGCGTCGTTTCGCTCGGCTTCGATGGGCTCCCAGATCTCACAGATCTTCACCTGCCTGCGCAGGCGACGTCGACGTCTGACCTACGCGCGCAAAACGCGCTCTCCGTCCGTGATGTTGGTGTCGCTTTGTTTTGGGTTCTGTTTGGGGGCGGACTTGCAAAGGTACCTGAGTTTCTTGGTTGCCACGAAGAAGAACTTTTGGCACATCGGATCATCGGGAAACAAGAAGAACTTTTGGGAAGCAAATAATCTTGATCATTCTTGGATGTATTTGCATCTCAGGCCCAGAAGTGGACCATAGGAGATCAGTTTGCCTGGGAGTGATCAGTACCCCGCTTAATTAGGAGAGGCATTAGGATACTAAGGTGGGCGTCTCCGTATTGCCAGTAACAGTGGATGGTGATGGTTAGGTTCCAGGGCATTATCCAAAATAGTGATTGTCTTTTGCCTTTCCTCTTACTGGTTTGCTGGGACACACATCATTGGGATGCTGTTTACGTCCCAAGAAACTGGCGAAGCCCGGAACTGTAGACACCTCGAGAGCTTCAGATCTAGAAGCATTCTTAGAGTCTGCAACGATAGAGCGTCGATGATTTGTGGCAAATGCAAAAAAGGTGCTCCAATAATTTCACCTTCAGTTCTTCTTTCACATAGCCTCTAGCAAAAAAAGAAATCACATGGATAAATGACCTAAAGGATCGTTGTACAGTCATTACTCATTCTTATCAACCATTGCAACAAAAAGTAGTGAAGAGAAACGTCTGTGGCTTTTTAAAGTGTTGAAACGCTTCAAAAAACATGGCTCCATAACCAATAATTCCCTTAAACACACTTAAACAATGAAGCCCCAAACCGAAGAAGTGACGTGCAAATACAGCAGCGAACAACCAACAACAACAGCAGCGATGCACCGAAAAGAACACCCCGGAAGTGACTTATCGAAATCGGAAGACGATGTTCCGAATACCAACGCCCACGTGGTGAACTCAGGTTCCATCAGGGGTCTGGACTCTCAAAACCCTATGTTTTTGGGTCTCTTCCAGGGTGTACCGTGCTTTCTTCGTGATGTCAACCAAACCATCCAACGAAACAGTTCTCCCCCCTCGTCCGGCGGGAAACGCCAAGTGGCATGGGCACGTGGAATTGAGACATATATCCTAAGCCATGCGTGCAACGTGCACGACGGAGCTTTCGTGTTTTGTTGGAGTCTCCCTTTCCTCTAACCCAAATCCATGCACCAACACCCCCCGATAGGGCGCAGCAGCGTGCGAAAAGCGAACTCACCTATGCCACGAGTAAAAACATCGGACGATCCTAAAACCGGACCTAAAGGCTGATGAATTCCCCCACGAACAAGCAAACCCAAACCCTAAGGGCCCATCTAGGCCCGTCGAGGCCCAAGTCCCATTCAACACAGCTATGCTACCGTTTCTTTTTCTACAGTGGTTTCAGAGGTTCGATGGCACTGGGCACCCAGTAGGAAGTCCGATGAGAAATCCAGACCGCCGACCTTGGAGGCCCGACCGTGCCATTGGTCACCTCTGAACCTCGGCCATCGTCCAGGCCACCGTGCCTCTGTCACAGCTGTTGATACCTGGGCCACCCTGGACCCGGTGCCTTCTTCCTTCATGACGGTGACGATCCTCCCTCCGTTGAAAAAGACCGAAGAGGTCTTTTCCAAGACCGTGATCAGGAGAAAACAAATCAAACGCAGTTCAAGAGACAAAAAGTTAAACTTGCATGAAAAAAGCACACACACAAAAATAAAAGGACCGGATAACCCCACATGATAAGTTTTACAAATTTCAACTGTATATGAACATCACTTGGGAGACGGAGTAGTGAGATGAAAAGTCAAGAAGGAAGTGTGAGGCGGTTATGCTCAGACGTGCAGTATAAGTGATGATGTGATGGACGAGGATGAGAAGGAGGGGAGGGAGGAGGTGTGTGTGTGTGTGTAGTGAGATGGCGTGCGTGTGTGTGTGGGTGAGGCTGTGGATTTTGCCATCAGATCCGCATGCGACCTTCAAAACGTAACACACTCGAAACGACCATCAAAGCTATCAAGTGGTCTCATCCCGACCACGGCGGGCAGTGTTAGCAGGATGTAAAGCAAGAAGAGGTGAGACACGCTTTTTTCTCTCACGCAGAGATGTAGAGTGAGCTCCAGGCAGGACCTGAGCTCCGGTCAACTCGCACGAACAGTGAGTATATATTTGCAACACTGAAGGCGGAGGCTAGCACAAGACATCAGAAGTGTCGATGTCAGAAACGAACTTGGTCAGTGTCAATTCTTTTGAGAAACGAACTCCGTCAGTCGTTATGCAACGCAAGGCAGCGTTGTTTTCGATTCTTTTCGCAGCAGTGTATCGTCACAGTCTGTCCAGCTCGTCACGTCGACTCGCCGGCATGCTAGCTCACAGTTCTTGAACTGCAGCAAAAATGCGAGGTCTTACAAAGGAATTTAGGTTCTTCTCCCAAGTACGCAATGCCCAGAAGACATGCGGCCGATGCTTCCAGGGGTGAAGCGTGGGACGGGCCGTCAACAAGCTCTGCACAGCCGCTTCCGCGGAGAGCTGACGACGAAAGATCAACCACGCGCACAATGCCGCTGAGCTGCGGTTGACCCCGCCGAAGCAATGAAAGAGGATGCCTCGTTCTTCTCGCTGAGTCGTTGCCTTCAAGTGCTTCAGAAGAGCGCAGCACATGTCCATCCACGATGACAACCAGGCATTTCCCACTTCTTGACAAAAAGTATTGGTGTCATCCAAGTATGTTCTGGGATCGTCCACGTCGAACGTAAACCACCGAATCTGGAGATCTTCAAACCGCGCTTTCCAGCCCACCTCTGGCTGTCCACGAATACGTTTCATCTCCCGCGGACAAAAGCTCAAGACAACCGACACCTTGCGATAGGAAAGTGGGACAGTTTCCTGGTGAGTCCGGAGATGGCGACAGGCAGCCAAGCTCCCGAGAAAGTAGATCTCAGGCGGTTCCAAAGACATCATCTCCCCAGGAAGTATTTCACAGATGTGGCCAATCTGAAATATCAGCGAAGTGATACTGGTGCGCTGCCAAAAGCCGGTCGAGTGTTGGCTGATCCTCGATCGGCATGTCCAAACTGCTCTCAATCATCCGTTGCAAAGCAGCGCAGGCAGCAGACATCGCATCGTCGTATGGCTCCATGTTGCACGGGTTGCGTGTTTCGAGCCTGGATATCTCACGGATGGTCCGCTCAAATGCTCTTTGATGTTCTCTGACATACAGCTGCAGGCTCACAAGTTCATAGACCAACTTACTTGATGTTGGTCTCTATCGCTAGGGCGCGGTCATCATGTCGCTCAAAAGCGGAGGTCACTGAATTGCACCCCCCATTATTCATTTTAATTCTCTGCCGGCTGAGTGATCTCAGCCCGTGTTAGGCTTGTAATCGAACTAACGATCGGCAGCTTCGTGAGCTGTTGCCCGGGCGGCAAAGTAGCATCATTGTGAGGAACGAATCGGAACAAAGGGGTTCCGAGGTTCGACTATCTTGCCGAATGCTGAGGTCAATGAAGATTTAGCAACTAGCCAAAACATGTAAGCATCTGTCTCCATCTCTGGCAGGTGGGGACACGCGACAGGAACCGTGTGATCATCTGTCAAAAAGCGGCCTCCGCCTGTGTGCAAAATTCCTTGGTAATGCCCACAAGAGGGCAGTTCGCCTCGGTGAAGGACGGTGGCCACGATCCTGAACTCTAGCCAGCGGGTGGCGCATCCAGTGTCGTACATGAACACCGGAAGAAAAATCTTGTGACGATTCCATTGAATCTGGAATTTGGATCGAACGCCCACGGTGGGAAAACGGTTCACCTGCAAGCAAACATTTGTGGTCCAAGAGTTCACTCCGTATCTAAAAGGGAGCTGGTTCGACCAAAGTTCAATCAGCTCTTGCAAGCTGCTGCAAACTGACTTTTCTTGCCTCAGCACAATCGGTGCAAAGGTCAAACCCCAGTCCTCTATGGATTGCTCGAGTCTGGCTTCCCAACATGGTGCTCTGCTCAGGTCTTGACAGCTTCCCTGATGAAGGGATTGTCTCAACCAACCCGCAAACTCAGCAGCGTCTTGCTGCTCATCCCTAGCATGTACCGCAAACCAAGGAGCAAGGCAGGTGCCCAACACATGAGGATCTGTGAGCCATTGAACCTTCGTATCATGACCAAGAACCCTCTGTAGAGGCAGGTTCCAACAATCCATGGTTTGCCAATGAAAATTGCTGTCCATGCAGCATCTCCATAATTCAGCCTGAACTACCGAGTTGACATAGCAGTCATTGGCTTCGTTGCCAAGTACCAGCTGCAAGAGTGCCTGCCTCATCGTTTCAGGCAGTGGGCCACAGCTTGGGCCAGTGGTGACCTCTGTAGAGTCGAAGGTCTCAGCCTGAGGAGGATCAACTGGGTCAGGCCATTGGCGGTCAATTTGGTCAGCAGGCCGTAGATCTCCTGAAAGGCTGGGCTGCAAAGCGAGGGATCCAGTCTCCATGGAATCACTACCGTCGTCTGCTTGACCAACAGGTCGGCCTGAAGAGGTTTCAAGGCCGAGAAACGATGGATCAGGTCTGACTGGCTACCGGGCAGGTGGATCCATGTCACAAAGCATCCAGCATATCAAACGATCGAACTCCAACAATAGAATGGAAACGCGAAGCAGCGGTGATTTTTTGATCTTCTCGCAGCAGCGTATCGCCATAGTCTGTCAAGCTCGTCACGTCGACTCGCCAAACCAGAGCGGCTGTGCTAAAGCGATCCAAGTATGCAAAAGTTTGATGAGATGCTCGTCACCTCGACTCGCCACTGTGGAGAGAGCCGGGCCCCCAGCGGCGACTCTCTGGATACTGCGCCGGCCACTGTGGAGAGAGCCGGGCCCCAGCGGCGACAACGCGCGCCGCAGCCCCGTCTGCAGTCTCTGGATACTGCGCCGGCCACTGTGGAGAGAGCTGGGCCCCCAGCGGCGACAACGCGCGCCGCAGCCCCTTCTGCAGTCTCTGGATACTGCGCCGGCCACTGTGGAGAGAGCCGGGC